TATGTATATATAGTAGCTTATATAGTAGCTTAACTTTATAAAATAAATTGTTAGTCATGTTCACCATCTGAATCCTTGTCAAGTAAGGATTGGAAATTAAACCGCTTCGCGATGTAAGTTGTTCACATTTGCCCTTATAAGCTATACACTTCATCGTGTTACAAATTTGTTGTTAAAATTCCACCAACAATTTTGGGAAATCTTTCAGAAGAGACAATGTATGACCAAGCCTACTTATTTCGACAATTGTTGATTAGAGACGGTGGCACGGTGGACGTCTTCTTAAAGGTATTAATTGATTTTGAATACAAAATATTAGTAGAGTTTCAAACGCAAAAAGGTTATTTTAATGTATCTATGTATATCCCAAAATAAACGATACATACCTATAGGAATATTTGTTGTAAATCGCCTGCTTTCTAACATGCAAATTAACCGGTGTATAAAGTACCAAAGTAACTAGCTTACAGCAATGATAAAGACATGTACAGTAGTTGCTTTCCAAAGCTATATTTGCTAAGTTTTCGATTTTAAAAGCCGCAGTCACCAATACCCTTATTGTAGTGTTGTACGATTGCTTGTCATCATAACCAGCCTTAAATTTCGCAATCGCATTCTTTAGTGTTGCAACATTTTTTACGTCACACAATCACTTTGCACAAACCACTTGCCACCAATTTACAGGTCAAGTGGGCTACTAATTATATCTAATTGATTTACATTACATTAGAATTTTCAATTATTTTGCACCACTACGCGGCAGACAAGACTACCTTTCCTTATTTGTAGTGCTGGCGTACGCTCACCCACAATCCAACGCATATACAAAGAAAATTGCACACTGTCTTTCTTTTCCAATATGTAATTATATGCACAGAAATCGATTTAAATTACTTTGATGAGCATGTTTTAGCCACGCGCTATCGAACTAATTACAACTTTTCGATTTTATGCTAATTTGCGTATAAACAATTCAGAGAACTGCACGCACAACACATCGAAAAACAACAAATCACTTTTTGTTGAAAGAAAACTAAAACAAAACAAACTTGCACAGCTGTTTTTGACATTTCGTTTTGTGTTGTTATGCTTCTTCTTATTGTGTAGGTAGGTGCGCAATACGACAATAAATGCAAGTGGTAAAAAGCTAACAGCCGTTAGATGGCGCCTTGTGTTTATATCTAGTAGAGACCGTACATACATTTGTTCTAAACAATTTATTAATTTTTTACGTGTTTTTGCAACCAATTACCGAGCACTTCATCTTAATTATATTTGCACAAAAAATTTATTGACAATCGCTTTCAAATCATTGAAATAAACCACCGACTAACAGGTCTATTCTGCACGTTACCGAAGATTTTGTAACCGGAAAATTGTATCAGAGAACGTTTATAAACGTTCTCTGCTTCANTGTAGTGCTGGCGTACGCTCACCCACAATCCAACGCATATACAAAGAAAAAATTTNTGTAGTGCTGGCGTACGCTCACCCACAATCCAACGCATATACAAAGAAAATTGCACACTGTCTTTCTTTTCCAATATGTAATTATATGCACAGAAATCGATTTAAATTACTTTGATGAGCATGTTTTAGCCACGCGCTATCGAACTAATTACAACTTTTCGATTTTATGCTAATTTGCGTATAAACAATTCAGAGAACTGCACGCACAACACATCGAAAAACAACAAATCACTTTTTGTTGAAAGAAAACTAAAACAAAACAAACTTGCACAGCTGTTTTTGACATTTCGTTTTGTGTTGTTATGCTTCTTCTTATTGTGTAGGTAGGTGCGCAATACGACAATAAATGCAAGTGGTAAAAAGCTAACAGCCGTTAGATGGCGCCTTGTGTTTATATCTAGTAGAGACCGTACATACATTTGTTCTAAACAATTTATTAATTTTTTACGTGTTTTTGCAACCAATTACCGAGCACTTCATCTTAATTATATTTGCACAAAAAATTTATTGACAATCGCTTTCAAATCATTGAAATAAACCACCGACTAACAGGTCTATTCTGCACGTTACCGAAGATTTTGTAACCGGAAAATTGTATCAGAGAACGTTTATAAACGNAAAAAAAAAAAAAACAAAGCAACCCGGGTGCCAAATGTCAAATGATTATTATAATTTATATTGTGCGGGCGACTTTGAGTTTGCGCGAATTGTTTACAAAAATTTCTATTGATTAATATCAAAATAAAATAAAATTATTATTTGTTTGTTGTTTTCACTGTGCTGTAGTGCGAAGTTTTTGGCTGTTTAACGTAAGGTAAGTAAAGCAATGAACAAAAAAACATTTGCCAATTTAATGAGCCGCGAAAATAGTGAGTGGCGGTCAAGTGCGGCAAAATTTGCCAGAATGCTTGGTGCTTCTGACGACACGTGTCATAATGGCGAAATTGTGTTGGAAGACTGTAGCTCGGTCTGCTCCGATGAGTCGGTTCTCATCAGTGAAGACAGTTATACTGCATCTGAAATTGATACGGTCGAAAGTGATTGTGCGTTTGAAATTAAAAAATGGGCTATAGAATGTAGGGTGTCCCAAATGTAGTTACCTCGCTACTTTAAGCGCTTACGAGAGGGGGTTTTAAAAATTTGCCCCTTTCGGCGAAAACTCGTTTTTAATACGAGTAACAAAAAAGTAGTTATTCAGTCTATCCCCTGTGGAAAATTTTTATACCGCGGAATACAACACCATCTTAAAACAGACGCGTTTCCATTTCTCAAAGATAAGGATGAAGTAAAAAGAGACGTAGGAATTGACGGTCTTAAATTTTAAAAAAGTTCGAGTTAAGTTTTATGGCCTATCCTTGGAGCCATTGTTGGCATTCCGAATGAGTTCCCTTTCACTATAGCTTGTTTTTCTGGGACGCAAAAACCATGGAACGTTAATGATTTTTTGAGTGATTTTTGTGATGAAGTGGTTAATTAAAAACAAAACGGATTTCGAGTTGGTTCAGATCCCGTAAAGAAAAAATTTGATATCCAGTTGTTTTGCTGTGATACACCTGCTCGTGCTTTTGTCACAGGTGTACAATCACATAATGGTAAAAATAGCAGCACAAAATGTGACCAAGTAGGAAATTATGTAAATAAAAGAACTTGCTTTTCAAAAAAAAATTCATAATCTTTTTGGTTTCATTATATGCTGCTAAAAAATTTTGGATATATGAATTTAATATAGTTTTATTTATTTAAATATAAATTATATACATAAATTATAAAATGTACATAGTTTTCAATTAAAACTGAATTAACTTCACTTTCGATATTAAATTCTTTTATATAATGTTGCATATAAAATATACTTTTATGGACATAACAAAACAACTTAATTGTTTATTTTTATTTATTAAAAATTATTTAATTTTCAACATAAATTAAATACTTTATAATTTGCTTAACTAACTTGTATGAATAAAAAAAAATACATAAAAAAAAGTTTTTTTTTTTATTCGAACCCAGAACTTCAGGATGAGGGGCGAGCTGCTAGCCATTCGACTATTGCACCGGATATCCGGCGGCGCGCTAAATGCGATTTTACTTGTCGCTACAATACCAAAGCCCTTAAACCTATGAGTGTGACAAAGATGGATGTATGTATATATATTTATATTGGGGGAACGCATGGGTAAGAAGGCGATAGAAAGTCACACGTACACAAGACTTTTGGGACTATTTTCCCATCGCTCTTAACAAAGTGCTTGTAATGAACAGCGTTCGGTTACCGTTTAAATGTCACGTGTGCCGGTAACGTTACTAAGTTAGGTGACCGGGACTCTTCTTGCTGGGTAGCAACTATCTGATAGGCGTAACTTTAATTCATATACATAAGCATGTTTACGCGTATATAAGGAAATCCATAGGGGTCTTCATCAAAAGTGATAAACTGTTGATAAACTTGATAAAATGATAAATTTATCATTTCGATAAATGAACTGTCAAACTTTGTATGGAAATCTATTTAACCAAAGTTTATCACTTTATCAAACGATTTTGGTGGATAAACGTGTAAATTTTCGCAAAATTCAACCATGACAGCCTGCCAGGTGGTCGATTTTGCTACGAACACATAAAACGAAAAGCACAATGGACGAGGTACGAATGAAACGTAACTAGCCAGATAAGTTAAATAATAAAGGTTTTTGTGCAATTATTCACCAAGGTGCGGTCATGAAAGAATGCCGATAAACTGATAGTCCGGTCAAATTAGACATTCGAGGTTACAAAATTTCCCACCCAGTTGAAAATTGTTATGATTGTTCAAAACACCATCATAAATGAAATCTAAAAAGTTCTCATCGATCCGATACCTTGAAAAAAGTTACTCGGGGTCAAAAGTCACAAAAACGGATTTTCCGCCATTTTCAACAAAACGGTAAGTTTATCCTAAAATTAGTTTAGACAAAAATTGTAGATCAGATAATTATCTATAACATACAAAGCGTGTTACTCATACGCCACGTACACCCAAACTTCCAACTTTTTGAATCGTTATGTCTCGGTAACGGTGGCTCTTAGGACAAAAAGTATTTAGCCATTTGTTATAGATAATTATCTGGTCTACAATTTTCGTCTAAACTAATTTTATGATAAACTTACCGTTATGCTGAAAATCGCGAAAAACCCGTTTTTGTGACCTTTGAGCCCGAGTAACTTTTTTTCCAGGTATCGGATCGATGAGGACTTTCTTGATTTCATTTATGATGGTGTTTTGAATAATCATACAAATTTTCAGCTGGGTGAGAGTTTTTGTAACTTCACTCCTATTTTTGGTCTAATTTGACCGGACTATGATACATTTAAGCAATTTATTCCTTCATCACCTTAGATGAAGACCTATAATAAAAGGGCAAGCCGTACAAGAGCACTACAAATTGTCAATTTCTCTAACAGATCTTTCCACCGCCTGAAGCGAATTCACACTAATTTAATCTCATCACTTTTGCCATTGTAGTACGTAAGTAGAATATAACGTTAGAATCAGGGGCAATAAGAAGGTGATAAGCCGTTATTTGAAAGCGGATATTTCGTATTTTCCACGTTTCTTTATGCTATGGCAGTATCACGTACATTTACACATACATATAAGATAGCTGTGGTGTAGTGGTGAGCAGTGCGCGCTTCCACTCTGCAGGGCCTGGGTTCAAGCCCTGGTCAAAGCAACATGGCAAAAAATGTAGGGAAAAGGGTTTTTCTTAACAGCGGTCGCCCCTCGGCAGGCAATGGCAAACCTCCGAGTGTATTTCGGCCATGAACAGCTTCTCATAAAAATAGAATTGCCGTTCGGAGTCGGCGTAAAACTGTAGGTCCCTCCTCTTTGTGACAACATCAAGGCGCACGTCACAAATTGGAGGAGAAGCTCGGCCAAACACTAACTTATGTGTGTGCGTTAATCTATTTATATAGGTACATAAGATAGTTGTACACACATATTCATGGACGTTTCCGCCACGTACCTGCGAGCAATCTGAACTTCCGAAACTTTTGTTTGTCTTCCGTTGTTGGCTTCTTTATTTGTTCGCTGACGCAGTAGCAGCTATATAAAGCTATACCTTAACAACAACAAAGTCAAAGGAAATCCAAGGGCTGACTGCGGCGCCATACATGCTTGTGTACGTACATATGTATATACATACATACTAAGGTAGGCAGTGAGCATTGGCGGAAGTCGAAATGTTGAATTGTTGACTCGCTGTACGGAAGTGAAGAGTGGCAGTATTGAGTGCTGTAAATAAACAATAAAATTAAAACCGAAAGCAAAGATTAAGTTGTAAATTGCACCAGTTAGAGCGTAAGTTTCGTTGCTGTGCTGTCATTTCAAGTGCTCAACGTTGTCTTTGTGGTTAAAGGTGTGAATGCGAATGAAGCGAAGTGTTGCGCGAAAATGCTGACTTTGTGTACAAGTGGAATTAATTGAACCGAACTAGAATTGCGTTTAAGTTATAGGCCAAAACGGTGTAAAAAGGTGGTAAATAAGAGTGTGCAAAGAAATCATGCC